CGTATGGATCTGCTGTTGAGTTTTTCTGGTGTTAAATAAGGTGCCGAGCTGAAGGTTGACCTGAGGAAGTTGTTTTGTTATGCAGTGACGCGGGAGGAGCGCTGTGTGATGAAGTGCTCACTTTGACTAAAGCGCTGAGTAAGTGTTATTGTAAAGCTGAATAATGGAGAGAATAAAGAGGAGTTTCTGTGCTGTCGACACTTTCACTGAATCTCAGACACACGTGGACTCACACTCCTCCTCAACTCACTGAGATACAGCTGCTGTGTGGAGGATCATTACTAGTCCCGCCCATCACTTTAAAGAGCCAATCGGGTTATTGATTTGAGGGTTTTCCTACAGAAGCATATAAGGCCTGTTTTTATTCTGTCGCCTTAAAAAGTGCATAGCCACAAAAGGAAACGAAACAAAAAGAGGTAGTAATGAGTGTGAAGTGCTGCTATTTATCATGCACACCGTTGAGTCACATCCATTCAGATCCTCTCACCGCGGTAAAAGAGCCTCATGCCCACAGATCCTGTGTTTTGTGTTTATGCAGAACTGCCTCTTTATTCCAGCAAATGCAGCGCTGCATGGGTTTGAGTCACACGTCCCGTTCTGCAGTGTTTCCTGCTCTACTGCCCCACTTATCATCCGCCTGTCCTGCACTAATTCTCATTTTGCATTTTACTAGTGCACTTGTATTCCATCACATTGTTTCAGTGTCACCACTACATTTGTATTCAGTATTCAGCAGGGTTTTTCCTGAGTTGAAAACATTCTTACAGTATGCAGTGCAAATCAGTTTTTGAAGATCATGTGATCACAGATTTCTGAAGATCATGTTTTGAGGGTTTTCCTACAGAAGCATATAAGGCCTGTTTTTATTCTGTCGCCTTAAAAAGTGCATAGCCACAAAAGGAAACGAAACAAAAAGAGGTAGTAATGAGTGTGAAGTGCTGCTATTTATCATGCACACCGTTGAGTCACATCCATTCAGATCCTCTCACCGCGGTAAAAGAGCCTCATGCCCACAGATCCTGTGTTTTGTGTTTATGCAGAACTGCCTCTTTATTCCAGCAAATGCAGCGCTGCATGGGTTTGAGTCACACGTCCCGTTCTGCAGTGTTTCCTGCTCTACTGCCCCACTTATCATCCGCCTGTCCTGCACTAATTCTCATTTTGCATTTTACTAGTGCACTTGTATTCCATCACATTGTTTCAGTGTCACCACTACATTTGTATTCAGTATTCAGCAGGGTTTTTCCTGAGTTGAAAACATTCTTACAGTATGCAGTGCAAATCAGTTTTTGAAGATCATGTGACACTGAAGACTGGAGTAATGATGCTGAAAATACAGCTGCGCATTACAGACATAAATTACATTTTAACAGATATTCACATTGAAAACTACGGTGACGCATTGCTGCCACACACATATTTTTTTTCCAATCAATTATGTCGTAATAACAAGATGTTATGTTGTTAAAACGACATCTTTTCTCATAAAAATTACATATTTTCTCGCAAAAACGAGATGTAATGTCTTAAAAACTACATATTTTACGGATGTTATGCCGTAAAAACGATATAATTATCTCGTTAAAACGAGATCTTTTCTCGTTAAAACGACATATTTTTTCTCATAATAATGACATATTATGTCATAAAAACTATGTGTTTTCCCGTTATTATAGATATATGGTATGTGGGCGAGAAGTGTGACAGCTATGATCAGATCAAAACAGTTATTTTTGAATAATTGACTCTGGGCTTAATATTTCTTTATTTGAATGACTGAAGTTTGATTTAACAACAAATCGAAATACGAACAAAAAGAAATAAAGACATTTTCTAATAGGCTAATAAAATCTGAAACCGGTTATTGGCATAATGATTTGAAATTATGGCCACAGCGTTTTTCTTAGTTCATTAGCTATGTTTTAATTAAAAAAAATGCCGTAATATTGCGATCTTTTAAATCAAGATGTCTGTTATTATAGGCAGAATTTTGAGTGTTGGCTGTTAGAAATCAGAGCTATCATATATATATATATATATATATATATATATATATATATATATTATTATTATTAGGCTATTATTATTATTATTATTATTAGCCTATTAGAAAATCTCTTTATTTCTTTTTGTTCGTATTTCGATTTGTTGTTAAATCAAACTTCAGTCATTCAAATAAAGAAATATTAAGCCCAGTGTCGATTATTCAAAAATAATTATTTTGATCTGATCATAGCCTAAACGAGTCATGGGTCTGAGTGCAGTTATTGGATAGCACTATATTGTGGACAGATTGGAGATTAATCCTAATAAACATGCCGCTACAATTAAAACCATTACATTAAAATACATTTAAAAGTGTATTTCAATCATTTCAGCAGCATGCAGATCCAAGTTTATGTCAGACTGTGGCGACAGCAGCGTGAGTCGCTTAGCTCGCTAACATATAGCCTACCATATATGTATAATAACGGGAAAACATATTGTTTTTATGACATATGTCGTTATTACGAGAAAAATTTTTTGTTTTAACAAGAAAATATGTCGTTTTAACGAGATAATTATATTGTTTTTACGGCATAACATCTCGTTATTACGAGAAAAGATGTCGTTTTTATGATATAACATCTTGTTTTTATGAGAAAAGATGTCGTTTTACGATATAACATCTCGTTTTTATGAGAAAAGATGTCGTTTTAACTAGAAAACATCTCGTTATTACGAGAAAAGATGTCGTTTTAACTAGAAAACATCTCGTTTTTACGAGAAAAGATGTCGTTTTAACGACATATCTCATTATTACGACATAATTGAGTGGGAAAAAAAATATGTGTGTGGCAGCAATGCGTCACCGTACAATACAGCTGTTTTAAATTGTAATAATATTTTACAATATTTCTGATTTTACTTTATTTTTGAACAAATAAATGTAGCCTTGGTGAGCAGAAGAGACCTATTTCAAAAACATTAAAATGTATCTTACTTTTGAATGTTAGTGTATATGGCTGTCCTCATGTGCAAAGTTGGTTAATTACATAATTGCATATAATTAACATAATTGCACCTTTATATTTTCATCAGTATTATTGATCACTGAAGCATCTCAACACTGAATTTTCTGCTTTAAAGTGCCTAATCAAAAACAAACAAGTGTGTGTGTGTGTGTGTGTGTGTGTGTGTGTAGGGTTGGTGTAGGGCAATAGAATATACGGTCTGTACAGTATAAAAACCATTACGCCTATGGGATGTCCCCACTTTTCACAAAAACAAACCTGTGTGTGTGTACTGTATTTATTGGCTTATTGATTGACTGCTTTTATTTTGCTGTTCACAACCCAACAGACCTGCATCAAATTTTTGGGTCATTACCCACCTGTTGAGACCTACTGGTACTGTAAATCATCATAATTTATTATATTGTGTACTTGTCCTTATGAATAACTACTGTTATTGCTGGTCGAGACGCTCAGTGGTTTGAAAGAGCCACAGGTGTGAATTCACTCAACAGTTTTGTTCAAGCTTAAGCAGGCGCTGAATGCGGCGGAGCAGTGCTGCGTCATGAGTCTTAAGTCTTTGTCATTCTTTTCAGCACAAACATGATTCCTTTGTATGCAAATGAGTCTTGTGCCGTATTTACTAAAGTCAGCATTATTTGCCTGGTGCAATTAACATTGTGCCTTTAGCAGCCACCTGAAGCAAGAATTAGAATTTAATTTGATGTTTTATGCACTTTGTATTGATCATGGCAGCACTAACTCATTAAACGATGATCAAACGATGTTGAAAAGCATTAAAGCAGGCTGTATATCAATTCAATTCAATTCAAGTTTATTTGTATAGCGCTTCTCACGATGCAAATCGTTGCAAAGCAGCTTTACAGAAAATTAAAGTATATTTATTATATTTAGTATTTCATATATCCACACATGCAGTGGAGTTCATTATGCTTTTTGCATTTTAAAGAGCTGATAAGGTGTCTGGATCACTGCTGTACAGTCACAGTAAAATATGATGGATCATGGAATTCAAAACTGATTGACAAGATGGGAAATTATTTTGGGTTTGTTTTTCTCATTAGCTGATTTGCAGGTTTAGAATTGACTGTATTTTCAACTTCAGCTTTAAAGTTATGATTCACTAAAAAAAATGAACATTTGCTGAAAATGTACAGTGAATGGGTGCCGTCAGAATGAGAGTCCAAACAGCTGATAAAAACATCACAATAATCCACAAGTAATCCACAGCACTCCAGTCCATCAGTTAACATCTGGAGAAGACAAAAGCTGAAACAAATCCATCATTAAGACGTTTTTAAATTCAAACCGTTGCTTCCGGCTAAAATACGAGTCTGTAATCCATAATAACGCTTCCTCCATTGAAAAAGTCATCTGGTTTGAATCAGGAGAGAAATGCACTGTTTAAACAGATCAAGCACCGTTTAAACAGTCCAAAACAGCTCTAAACAAATATTTGAGTGGATTTTGATGTGAGAGGGGATGGACATTTTCACTGGAGGAAGTGTTAATATGGATTATAGACGCGTATTTTGGCCAGAAGTGACGCTAAAACATCTTAATGATGGATTTGTTTCAGTTTTTGTCTTCACAATACATTAACTGATGGACTGGAGTGGTGTGGATTACTTGTGGATTATTGTGATGTTTTTATCAGCTGTTTGGACTCTCATTCTGACGGCACCCATTCACTGCAGAGCATCCATTGGTGAGCAAGTGACGCAATGCTACATTTCTCCAAATCTGATGAAGAAACAAACTCATCTACATCTTGGATGAACTGAGGGTGAGTGAATGTTCAGCAAGTTTTCATTTTTAGGTAAACTAATCCTTTAAATTAGCATACTTTCGATGTTGAGGAGTTGAAGCATTGCATGTTTGCATCTCTCTTCCTGCTGTTTTCTGCTGATGAGGTCGGCTGAAGGTTGCATCATTGGCCTGGCTTCTGTCCGTCCTAATTTCCTCTGCTTGACCTTTGACCCCCAGGCTGGAGCTGCGAGTCTGTCTCTTTCCAGCTCCTGTCAGGTTTCCCCTGCGGCTGAAGAAACACATCAAGCGGCGGTGTCGTTTCCCCCGCACCTGCTGCACTTGTCTTTCAGGAGGTGACTTCAGCTCTGCAGGCCGCCGTTGGTTGTCACCTCTCTGTGATTAGGGTCACACCGCGCGACCTTTGGCTGCCGTCATGGAGGGTTGAGTATCGGTGGAGAGATGGGAAGGGCAGTGCGGGGCTTGTGCGTTTCGATGCCATCAAGCTGCTGCTCAGAGCCGTTGTCGCATTTGTTCTCAGAGCTCGCTGTCCTCACACACATTCTGCTTGAATAGATTTATTTTCTGTTCTGTCCTGCAGCACAGGCGGTTTTCTGTCTGAGGGAGGTTTTATGTTTGATTTTATTGTTCACGAGGCGAGTGCCGCATTGAAATTCCTTTGATTTTCTTCACCACAAAACATGCTGACTCCTTTCAAACTATGTTTCGTACACAATTAGTCTGTTTTTGCTAAATTGGTACTATTTAAGACATTTTTTAATAAACGGAAGGTTTGTCTGTTCAGGAAATAGTTCAATTCCGTTTTTTGAAAATCTTCCATTGTTGTACATTTATAGAATGTTCGTGATTCAAAATGTAGCTTGACAGTGATGATGTCACAGTAGCAGTTTGAATTCTGTTTGGACTTCTTTCGTGCATGTTTCTGTCTTCTGCATGAGAAAACCAATCACAATTCAGTATGCAAATTACTGAATTGTGATTGGTTTTCTCTCGAAGAAAACAGAACACAGAATGCAGGCTTCTTGAGTTAAACTGTTTACCTTTAAGTTTCCAACTTAAACTACTAGCTTTGTTTTGTTTTTTCTAGTTGAGACAGAATTTGGTTTTCCAGTGAAATCTCATATTTCCATGTCGTCTCCAGTTTCACAGTTGATGTGTCCTTCAGGTTGAGATGCTAGTGGAATATCATATTCCCAGATGTCAACCCATATTCATTAGCCGAGACCTAATTTCTTTAAAAAAAAAAAACATCTGTCCAAGTTTATTTAAAGTCAACATGGATCGAAATTTGACCCCGTTTACTTTATTCAGACATGGTCTTGTTGTGAAAGATTCATCACTGCACGTTAATCTAAAAATAATGTTTGTCTTCATAATCTTTCATGAAAATTTAATAGCTTGCTCTAACACATTTTTTTTTGTGTACTTGTTTCTCTCCTAAGCATCATAGAGAAGTAGTAAAACGGTCATGAAAAACGTTTTGCACCGCAAGAAACCTTGACTAACATTACACTACCATTCAGAAAGAAATTAAAACTCTTATTCAGTGAGGATGCATTGAATTTATCAAAAGTGTCAGTAAAGACACGTATAATGTTAACAGTTGATTTCTATTTCAAATAAATAAAGTGTAGCATGGTTTCACCAAAAAAAAGACACTGTTTTCAACATTGATAATAATCAGAAATGTTTCTTGAGCAGCAAATCAGCATATTAGAATGATTTCTGAAGGATCATCTGACACTGAAGACTGCAGTAATGATGCTGAAAATTCAGCTTTGATAACAGAAATAAATTACATTTTAACAGATATTCACATAGAAACCAGTTGTAATAATATTTCACAATTTTACTGCTTTTACTGTATTTCTCATCAAATAAATGCAGCTTTGGTGAGCAGAAGAGACAAATAACACATACTTTTGAACACGAGTGCATAAGTGGACTAGTTTCCCCATTTCATTTATAGACCTTTACTTCTTTTGTTTATGATTGATGTATGTTCATCTCAGATTGTCTCATCAGAGAAAACACAACTGTTTGGCAAGTCGTGCTTGGGTTATTATTTCTGCGTGTCATATATTCACATAGAAACCAGTTGTAATAATATTTCACAATTTTACTGCTTTTACTGTATTTCTCATCAAATAAATGCAGCTTTGGTGAGCAGAAGAGACAAATAACACATACTTTTGAACACGAGTGCATAAGTGGACTAGTTTCCCCATTTCATTTATAGACCTTTACTTCTTTTGTTTATGATTGATGTATGTTCATCTCAGATTGTCTCATCAGAGAAAACACAACTGTTTGGCAAGTCGTGCTTGGGTTTATCCTTTCTGCGTGTTTCTCGCTCCGTCTCTGTGTGTGTAAGTCTGATCATTACTCGTGGTGGCAGATTTCAGGAGAACAGAGGAGTCCGGCTGTGCCGCAGCTCTGTGTGAAACTGACCGCAGATGTTCGCTTGTGTCCCTGCGACCGGCCTGAAAAGCTCTGATGGGATCCGAGCCAACAAAGAGACGCGGGTCTCAATATGCTGTCGGTGTACACAAACCAAAAAGTGTGGTTTAATTTTTTTTTTCCCTTTGGTTTGTCGTTCTGAACGGAATGAAAGACACACTCGATCCTGTTACGATTATAAAGCTACAAAGCGTGAAACCGGAGCAGAGAGTGTATCTATCCCGACCACCGAAAGCACAAAGAGCGTTTGAACAGATCCTCTTTGACCATCATTGTGGCCACAAATGGAAATCTGGTGAAAGATGTCAACTGTAAAGCGAGTGCTGGTAACGCGAGCATGCAAATCATCCCGTGAGAGTTGGGAAAGGCTGGGAATTGTTTTTCAGCTCAGGCAAGAACATTGTGAGATGACTAGAAAGGATTCACTTTACAAAGAGAAATTGGAAGGTGTTTTGTGGTCGAAGCGGCTGCTTTGAGTCACTCGGTTAACCTTGCTTTGCTCTCAGCAAAACTTTATAGCTTCTAAATCAAGGCATCGTGGCATAAATGATTATTAGTGGTGTTTGCTAAGTCAATCTTGAGGTTAATGGTGTGATGAAACCTCAAACACAAAGTATTAAAGTTCAGCGTGTGTGTCGTCCTGCGGCGTTTGTGCAGGAATGAGTTCTCAAATCAGGTGTTGTTATTTCACTAACTATTATTTCAGACGTGTCAGTCGAGGGTTTTTGCACCAAAAACATATATAAGATTACATAAACCCTGCAGAATCTGCAAAAGGCTAATAATTACTGTAAAGCTTAATAGTTTCATTAATAGCTTTTCAGCAACATGCAATTTTTATGATCCCTCGTTTTGTAAATTATTAATAGTTTGCAGATTCTGTGACGTGTGTGTGTGAGCATTTTCGTGCATATTTTTCACCCTCCCTCTGAATTAAACAGGCTTTTGTGCCTTTATATTTAAGACCTTACAGTGACAAACAGTTATATGTAGAAATACATAACTCAATAAAAAATTAGATTCTTTTTTAGTTAACAGTTTGCATGAGTTTGCAAGCCCATTGCAGTGTTTATGCCTATTTTATGCGAATTGTATATGCTTATTTTGCTTTTCTATATTTAAGACTTCTTTATTTACAAATTGATTTCTGATTATAATAATGAACTTGATTATGATTATGATCGGTTAACATCAGGGTGCTTTACAAGTTATGTAAATGACATTTTTGTTATCTACTTCTTCTGAAGTGATTGTTTGTGTGAAAAACAGACACAAATTTAAGTCATTATTTGATTAATTCATATTTAATATTGAATTGCATGCTTCAAAACACAATGATGGTCATTGCTTCTATCAAATAATGTCCTGTTAGTCTAATATGTCCTGTTTTACATCATTTGATTTTAACTTTTTATCTCACAGTCTAAGAATAAAAGTCTGAATTGTGAGATATAAACTCAAAACTGAGAGAAACAAGTCAGAATTGTGAGACAAAAATGCTGCAGTTACCATGGTGGAAATAAGCTTCCATTTTCCTGCAATTTACATGCAACTGTCATACTGTCAGAATTCCTCCTATACGTCACTAAAAGTGCACCGCTCTAAAAGTCACTGTTTCCCACTTCAGGATCAGATAAAGCCAACAGCAAGGTTTTCAAACTGTCTACAAAGGCTGCATGTGTAATGCTGAAGACCACTTCCTGCACACACTTCAAACGCTTCCTGTGCACTGATTCCTTCCACACTCAGAGTCAAGGACGGATCAGGAGACAAGTGCTGAGAGAATAGTGACTCCCTCCTGATGTCCCCTAAACTTCAATATTTGACCACTGTTTATGATAAAACTCGGTTACAGTGACAATAATTTCTTAATTTATGGAATGCAAAATCAACGCGCATCAGTGTGGATTTTGACATTTTGAATAGAATAACAACACACATTCATATTCACATTGTGTTTATTATGTTTATTATGCTTATTCGTGTTCACATAGCTCCACTGAACAGCATCCATTAGGGCTTTTAGTGCAAAAGTTTGCATATTTGGAGAAATCTTGATATATTTACATGTTTACTTAATATTTCCATAATTTCTATTCTATTCCAGCGCTTGGCACTTACTTTTTTCCCGAGGAGCACAATTTAGGAGAAAATTTAGCAACACATTAGGGTAACACTTTACAATAAGGGTCCATTAGTTAATGTATTTACTAACATGAACAAACAATGAACAATACATTTATTACAGTATTTATTCATCTTTGTTAATGTAAGTTAATGAAAATACAGTCGTTCATTGTTAGTTCATGATCATTCACAGTGCATTAACTAATGTTAACAAGCACAACTTTTGATTTTAATAATGCATTAGTAAATGTTGAAATGAACATGAACTAAGATTAATAAATGCTGTAGAAGTGTTGCTTATTCTTAGTTCTAAAGTAGTTCACTAATGTTAACTAATAAACCTTATTGTGAAGTGTTACCCACATTAGACTAACAGGACATTATTTGATGTTAGAAATAATCATCATTGTGTTTTTTAGTAAGGAGCAAATTTAGAAGCACATTAAAAAACTTAAGGTGTGTGTATGTGTATATATATGTGACCGACTTAAGACTGGTTTTGTGCTCCAGGGTCACATATATATATATAGAGAAGCTACAAGAGTTTACATTAAATTAAATGCATAGCTGATTTACGGACAGATACCGTTAAAAAATAAAAAAAACTAAACTGAATCATTATAAATGAGCTCGAAAAACACAGAGACTCTTATTTTTAAATGTCTAAGCTTCACTAATGCCAGCTGCTCAATCAAACAGATGAGGGAGATAAAATATGCACTTTTACAACCATCTACAGCATATTACAATATAAACACCATAAAGTAAACATTGTCATAGTTAATCAACAGTCGATCATAAGCAATTGTTTGCAATAAATGCGTAATGCAAATTGATTGAGAACTGCTCTGAAACTAGCAAATTTAAGATCTCCTAAAATGATAAGACTTCTGTTTTAAGATACCTAAAATTTCCAAAAAGCATGAATACATTTTACAGTTTGCACACATCTATTTTTAGTCGCAAATGCAAGTGAAATACTCTGTATTCATCATACTTGATTATGTGTAGATGTGTTTATCATTAATTGCATCATAAATTTGCAGATGTCATTGTGCAGCCTATTTTTAATATCTATCTTTTGTGCTGTATAGGAAGCTTTGAGTTTCATCTCATATTAAGCACTTTTATTCCAGAACATCAAAGAAAATGTAATTCCTCATGATATGAGGCCTGTAAGGAAACAATATAAAACATGACACAAGGTCAGGCGCTCATTAGCTGCAGCTTTACACACTTATGGATTTACAGTCCTCAGTGACGTGAAAAGGCCCGTTTTTTGGTGCCGTAAAAGAGTGTGGAACAGATTTGGGCTCAAATGAAGCACACGTCACTCAAATGTTTAATGGCGGCAACATTAAAGACATTCACACTTGAGCTGTTTTAAAGGGTGAGCGTTATTGAGAGGGACTTTATAGAGCCGCCCCATAATTAGATCTCACATAAAGCTGCTGTCAGTCAGAGGAGCGTTTGAGGTTTAAAAATCAAAGGACATTTTTACAGTACAGTATAGCTGAATATATCTGCACTTTCACTGGTTTATATATATTTGTATGGCTATTATGGGTTTTAGATGTTGACCAAATTGAGATTGAAATGAAGTAATGTTTTCTCCAGGTGCTCAGACATATAAATATAGATCTATGGATATTAAATAAATATTATTATTATTGTTGTTATTATTACTATTAATGAACAAGTACTGCTGGTTAAAAAACATATATACAAATTACAATATATATTTATTTAAAAAAAAAAAAATTATATGTAATACATATACAAAAT